CACCACAGCCTTACTGGTACCAGTAACAGCCTTCACCAGAACACAGACGCGTCCCCGTGGGTGACGGCGCCTCCATGCGCTGCCCCGTGCGGCTCCAATGTCCCCAGCGCCTCCTCCTGCTCCATTTGCTCACTTTCCTCTTCGCTCGTCTCTCCTCTCCGCTGATTTTTCGGCTCTCGTCGCGCCCCGAACCGCGTCTCCGCTTCGACCCAGCCGGCCGGGTTACGGCTCCTTCCCTCCCCTCCCTAAATCAATCCCTCCCTCTCTCCAGCCTTCGCTGCGGTGCGAGGAAATAAAAGCGCAAGCTTTGTCACTCCCGAAATATGCACAAAACGTAGGTGGGGAGACACCTAAAACACGGAGCCCGGAGAAGAAAAAAAAACAATCGCTCGGGGTGAATTCTCTACAGGCAAAAAACAAAAATGAGATCCGAGCCCGTGCGCGGGGTCTCCAGAGAGCGCCAGGGCTCTGCCCGAGCAGGGGCTTTGCAAAGAGGAACTTCCTTGGGTGCTTCCAGAAAGCGAATACACGGCTACAGAGTCCACCTCCCTCAGCGCCCGAGCCCTTTCCGGCCCTCCCTTACTGCTTCGTCTCTTTTTTGATGCAGAAATCTCCCGTCTGAGTCGCCGACTCCAAGCTGAGCTGCGAATCCTCGGCGGGCCGCGGGTTGCGGGAGTGGATTTTCTGGTGGCAGTTGAGGGACTCTTTGTACCGGAAATGTTTCCCGCAGACGGGGCACTGGTAAGGGGTCTCCCCGGTGTGAACCCGCCAGTGTTTCAGCAGGTGGTCCCGCCGGATGAAGCTCTTCCCGCACTCGGTGCACTGGTAGGGCCGCTCACCCGTGTGGATGCGCTGGTGGCGGATGGCTTTGGAGAGGTCGCGGAAGTCCTTCCCGCAATAGGTGCAGGTCAAGGGGCCGTCGCCTTTCCCCGTGTGGAGCTTTTGGTGAAGGATGAGGCTGACCTCCAAGCTGAAGCTCTCCTTGCACTGCGAACAAGTGTAGGGTCTCTCCACCATGTTGTTCACCTGGTGCCTGACCAAACCGTACTTGAACCCGGAGCTTTTCTCCCCGTCGGGGCGTTTGGAGGCTTTGGAGCGCGAGGGCCCTTGACCTTTCGCGCCGCTCGCTTTGGCTTTCGGCCTGAAGCTGTCGCCGTGCTCCAGCGAAGTGCAGGCTTCCTCGCCGGAGTGGCCTTTCTGGTGGCTGGCGAAGAGCTGCTTGTCCAGGAAGCTCTCCCCGCACTCGCAGCAGATGTAAGGCCCCTCTTCTATCGCCGCCGCCGTCACCTCCTCGGGGACGTCCTTCTTGGCCGGGTCCCTCCCGCGGCGAGACGAGCGCCTCAGCCCGTTGCCCGTGGCCGCTCTTTGCTGCGAGGTGGAGCCGCTCCGGCTTTTGCCGCTCGATTTCATCTCCTCCTCCGGGCTGGAGAAAACCTCGTCCCATTTGCCCGTCAGCGAGCTGGGGAGCTGCAGGCCTTCGGGTCCTTCCTCGTCGCACTGCTGTTCATCTGGCGAGCAGAGACAGGAGCGTTATTGCTTTGGGACGTGGACCGGTTCACGCCGCGGTTACCTCGAGGCAGAGGCGGCCTCTGCTTCGTGCGCTCAGGACCTGGGTGCTACAGTGGTCAAAGTCCTGAGCTGCACTGGAACGCAAAGCCAAAGGGTTTTGGCTTGGAATCACTGATGACTTTAGGTTGGGAAAGACCTTTAGGATCATCGAGTC